TAGTAGTAGCAGTAGTAGTAGTAGACCAAGTGGCAATAGCAATAATATTTAGTAGTAGTAAGATTAGGCGTAGGAGCAGGAGTAAGATGAGGAAGGAGAAGAAGGAGGAGGATGAAGAGGAGGAGGCAGAGGCAGAGGAGGAGGAGGCGGAGGAGGCGGANNGGAGGAGGAGGAGGAGACTTAGGAGGACGAGGAGCAACCAGCATTCATTTTTCACTTGTTTCTTGAACTGCTGCTACTAGTGACTACTTCATCACGAGACCCCGAGCCCAGTTGTCCAGGTAGCCGAAAGCGCTCTTTGCAAGCCTGCCTGCGAGCATGCAGGCAGGTTATGCCTCTATGCCCGTAGACAGCGTTTGGGGGGGTACAGAGTCGAAGCATTGAAAGGTGCGGGAACCTAGCAGGAGGTTGAAGAGGGAATGGTGCAGTGCAGATTACATGGTCTCTGTGGTTGGAACCAACCTTTCTGAATGTACCCTTGGTCAGTATTTCGGCTCTTTGCAGTCTTGTTGAGCGATGAAATATCACGTTCTCAAGTTCGTCAGCTGCACAGCACTAAGTCCAAAAAGCACCAGCAACATCCAGCATTTCGTAAGACCCAACGGCATCGGCAGTCGTTTCTTGCCCAAAGCTGGCAAGAAGCTCGCACATGAGAAGCTGCTGTGATGTCTTCAGGCAGCATGTTTTTGTGCTTCGCTTGGCGTGGACAACTAGCCTGGGACTGCTTCGACGAAATCCTAGTCGTATCCTGACGAACTAAGACTAGGAATCTTTCCAAGTGCAACTTCACATGTGGGCCCTGATTCGGTTCTGTCGCGGTTCTTCTGTGCTCGTTTCTGGAAGCTTCAGTTTCAAGGATCAGACCCTTCACCCGACACCCTCTACCCTAAACCTGCCAACTTGGGCCACTCAGTAGAACTGGTGCAAAGACGGGTTTTGTTGATTAGCCGAAATGAAGACGAACCGACCTGCCTGCTTACCTGCCTGCCTGCCTACCTGCCTATTTTCTCCAACCCACCTACCTGCCTGCTGACCTACCTACCTACCCGCCCACACCTGCCCCCAACCGACCTACCTGCCTGCCTCCCCCTTGCCACCTACCCACCTACCCACCTACCCACCTACCCACCTACCCACCTACCCTACCTACCTACCTACCGACCGACCGACCGACCGACCGACCGACCGACCGACCTACCTACCTACCTACCTACCTACCTACCTACCTACCTACCTACCTACGATCTTACCTTACCTTATCTGATTTTATCTGATCTTATCTGACCTTATCCCGTCTTATCTTATCTTATCTTATCTAATCTTATTTTAGCTTATCTATCTATCGTGCGTGTTATAAACATTTGCTACGTAGCTCGGCACAGACCCAGGTGAAGACATCAGGCACGCAGCATACATGCATGTACTCGTGCATGTTCGCATATATGCATATACACCCACACACACACACACTACATCTAGACCACTGCCCTAGACACCTTCCACTAATTTCCGAAAGCCTTTATCAGAGTCCTGTGGCTGCTGGGCCAGGGGTCGCAAAGAAACGCTGGACCACTCAGGGAAGTTCGGTCTCGGGACGGAAGATGAGGCTGGGAGCTTGAGGGCTTGCAGGGTTTTGGAAATAGTGCCGGGTTGGTGGTTCCGCTCCTCCTCCTCCTCCTCCTCCTCTTTTGTCCTCCTACTTACTACTACTGGTGCTACTACTACTATAATATTCTACTACTGCTACTACTACTACTGCTACTACTACTACTACTACTACGACCATTGGCACGGCTAGCTACTGGTGCTACTAGTACCGCTACCACTGCACGTACCATTGCAGAGAGGGAGATTCTTCTGCATGGGTCCGCTCTGTTTTAGTCGACGTGGCCTGCCAGCTGAACCAGGCAGCCTCTTCGCTGTGGAAGGAGGCAGATTCCGTTGTACAGGCTGCGACTTGGCTTGCAGTTGTTGCCTTGGTTATGGGACGACGGTTCGACCCTTGCTGCAGCCATGTGTGACTAAACTCGATGTGTCCAGAGGTTTCAGGACTTCTGGCGTGGTAGTTCAGCCGTTGATGAAGTCGAGCGTGCAAACAGGTGACGGAGGAGGTTGTTGACATTTCGTGGAAGCTGCAGAAGGCCCATCAAGCTGTCCATGTTTCTGTATGTGGATTGAAATTAAATTCTGGACACACAGCTTTGCATAAGGCAGCATTGTTCCAATGGTTGCACGAGTATATTGACAATGCTCATTTGGCTTATTTACCCTCAGGCCCGCCGTTCTTAATCTGCACCCAGCCTTAACGCTCGAAGGCAATAAGGTCGAAGCTCTCCTCATTCACCGAAACAGGCCAGACGCAAGCCCCAGAGCCACCTTCGAGATCTCAAGCATCTCGTAAGTGCGAGTAGTACGAGTTCTACATTCTACATGCTCCGTCGCTTCTATTCCCTGAGTCCCGAATCCCTGAGAGGCGCTTGGGGCAAAGCCTTCGATGGCGAGTCAACTTCTTAGCCGTGTGGTGAGGCGCAGTCGGGGAGTTGGGGAGGTGTTGGGATACGACGAGGCTTACGGAGAGGGACAAGTAGACGTGACCCTACCTTTGTTAAGATACTCCCAGGCTATGGTAGATCCGATGGTAGCACTGCCATTGCCCAAATTCCAGCAGCAATTTGACATGGACACTCTCAAACGGACACCAAGATGTGACTCCTCCAACTTTGTTTTTTTGTTGTTCCTGTGGCCCAGGACTCGTTTACAATGAAATCCCTGCCCTGGATTTTTCCTGCCAGGCGCATGGGAGACGACGTCGCTTGGCAGAAGAAGCTTCATTCATCCCCCAAACTTCAGACCCCGGGCGAAACCCTGCCTAAATTATATTATCTATGATGTACTATAGATTATATCATATTGCATTGTATGTTTAAATACATATATATATATATATTTATAACCATATTTATACATATGTATATATATATATATATATTGTCTATAAACAACAACATTATTGATAAGCGACATACATGTATACAAGGACTAACAAGACAATCGACATACATGTATACAAGGACTAACAAGACAATGAATAACCGAGAAGTATTTATACAAGCATAGATGATATTAACGGTTTAGGCCCAGGTGTAAAGAAACCAAGGGGACCCCGGACCCCATATAGGGGGGTACCCATATATGTATATATATATATATGTATGCATTAGATGTTTGATAAATGTAACTCCCAGCTCTGAGCTCTGCATTAGCTCGCGGGAAGGGGGGGTAAAGGCCCTGCACCTGGAGCCGCCACAGAACTCTGAAGCCAAATCAAAAAGCTGCATATGCCTGTACTCTATCACCTTGTTTCGAGATGCAGGGCTTTTCTCCCACAAGTGGTTTTTCCCTGCATCTGCCGATAAACCCTATACTGCTTTGTTTTGCAGCATGGTTCGGGGGGTGCAGGCTGAAACTATGTTCATGTACCTCGTACCATTCATATGCTATGGTAGATAGATGTAGATGGCAGATGTGATTTGCATAACCTTGCACTTCGCAACCCGTGTTGCATATGTTACTACACATTTGCATGAGTCAGTAACGAGCCCTCTAGACCCGAGTTCAGGATGGAATGAACATCACCCTTCGCCGTGTCCTCGACGATGACCATAGCACCTCCCAAGATGAGGGCCCATGGCTCAGCGGCCGCCGGTGTGAGGGGATGTTGCCTCAGGAAAGAATCTCAATTCGCTTTTGAGGTTTGGTGGGTTGCTCAGGTTGAGCTTCAAGTCAGAATCGGCCGGTCTTGCTAAAAGCACTTGGTGCTCTTCTGCAGAAAACCTCCCCTACCAAAACTCAGAGAGGCAGGTGCCTACCCAGAAGCGCAGGCACCCAATTGCTCAGCTCCTTGGGAGCCCTTGTCACCAGGTCCGTCTGTCAACTACGAGCCGGCGCGGCTCCTGGTCTCCGAGACGCTGCAGCAGCTGCACCTTCAGGCCGGCACGGGATTGTGAGAGGCTTCGCTGTTGGAGGCTCTTTCGTTGTCGGTAGTCTCGCAGATTCGATCAACAACCGAAGATCGCAAATCGCGAGGGAACCCCTTCGACCCTATTTATCACAGGATTACAGCCAGATTGCATTTGCCCATGCTGGTGTGCAGCCTTCATATCCGATGACTTCTCTGACAGCGGCAGGTGCACGATGAGCGCGGACGTGACGTCGACAAGGAGTTGGATCTGGCGGAGGCCGAAAGCCACGACAGAGCAGCAACAGTGACATCATCAAGACGACGAAGACGATGAAGACGGCGACGGCGACAGCGACAGCAGCAAATGGTTGCAGCATAAAGGCAAACGCGTGAACTCTTCTGGTGTCCAAGATGGTGGATGTGGTGGCGGTGAAAGCGATGTTGATGATGACGTTGATGGCTGTCAGACAAACTCTGTATCGAGGTTTCTTGACAGTGGTGTTGCTGGATCTTGGTGAGTGGGCCGTGCAAAGATGTACAGCGTCGTTGGCAAACCGGTATTCTTAGCGCGAATTGCGCGAAGGCTGCAGCACCCCTGTCGAGAGCCCCTACCATGAACGCGTCAGGATGTGCGAGCCTTCTTGGCGGGCTCCCTCTATCCGCAAGGTGGGTGCATCGTTCTCTTGTTACGGCTTCAGGATGCGCAGGGTTTAGGATTTATACAGGATATCGGGTTTAGGACTTCGGGTGTAAGAGGCTTCAGGGTCTCCTACGAAGCCTCTACACAGTAGCCCACTATAGCCCACTAAGTAGCAAGGCCGAGCACACCCTCAGTCTCTTCAAAGCTCGGAGAGTCCCATTGCTCCCCTTAGGACTTGCTCAGTTCATGCTCAGCAGAACCCCCCCCCCCTCAAGATCCTACCCTGCACCCTTATCGGCCCTAAGTCCTAAACATGTTGGGATGCTTAAGTCAGAGTCAGAAGCCTCCCTGACCTGGATGCCGGCATCTTCTGTCCATCTACTACGGGGGTTTGGGCTCCAGTGCGACGAGCCTCAAGCTTTAGGATTCAGTTCTTTACCTTGGGATGCTGTGGCCAGGCGACGACGAGCCGGAGATGGACACACTGATGACAGTTGCAGCCCGGCTCGCTGTTGGGTGTAGACAAGGGAGGATATCCAGGATATCCGTAATCCTGAATCCTGAACGGAACCAGCCTTGCCCGAGAATTCGCAGAAGGAAGACGTGGGTCGCTGAGCTTCAGCCCAAAAAGTTCAAGCTTACGAAACCGAAGCCTTGCATGCTATTTTGGACACAGCGACCTGACTGGACGTCCCGAGGTGACCAACTACGAGGAGGCCGTGGTGGTGGGGTTTGAAAACCCAAAGATGCGCGACGAGGTGCCCCGTTCTGGTCGAGGTCACCTTGAAAATGCCTAGAGCAGGATGTTGCGGTAGGTTCTACTGGAAGTATACTGGGCTTAGAACGGGACATGGTTCATTATTGTTGTTGCTATTGCGATGAGGATTATCATCAGTATCGTTGTTGTTGTCATTACCATAGCTATCATAAAAAAGGCCCATGATTATACTCATGATTGTTCTTCTTAGCACTATCTTGTATTTCTTGATATCAGTCTTAATTCTCCTTTTATGATAAACATTAACATTGTGTTGTTGCTATTCGCATTCTTAGTGCTATCTGCGTCTTCTTGTTTATTCAGACCTCCATCTTAGCAGGTACTCTTCGGGCTGCTGGTGCTCCTCGAGGCGGCACTGCAGCGCGCAGCCGGGACCTCGAGCCTTCCCCCGGGAGGGTCCTTTAGTGTTTTTTTCTCGTTTTCAGGGTATTTGTTTGATGCTTGGGGTGTGGGGCATGTCAACCGCTTTTCGGGGGCGAAGTTTGGGATTCCGAGTTCTCGGCAGCCTCTCCACGTGGAGTCGCGGGGTTAGGCTCCAGAGATAGGGGCGTCTGGGGCCCACATGGGTCTCGCAATTCTCGTGGGTTTGGATTTTCGGCTCCGGGTTGTTGAGAGGGCGGACCCGAAAGCCGGGTGGAACGTTTGCACAGCCAGAACCTTTGAGGTTTTTGGAGGCTCACAGTACTTCAGCTATTCAGTTTGAATGAGTGGCTCCAGTGTGGCTGGCTCTTCAGATAACCACCAGTGAACCACCGGTTCTGCAGATCACCAGGTCGTCATCGAGGAGCTTCCCCGCTGATGGGGATTTCGCTGTGTCTGGCACAAGCTCGCAAAGCCGGTGTTGTGATGCCGCCCGCCATTGGGAAGCATAATGCGGCATGGATTGTACATGACTGTACATATGTGGTCTCCAATTCAGAGATCCGATGCGGCAGTGGAGTCCAACACGGATTCCTGTTTCCAAGTGGCTGTAGAAAGCTCTGCAGAGATCTCCACCCACCGAAGTCAGACCTTTATGAGGTGTCGTCTGTCATTATGTATGCCTGTATGCACTGCATCTGTACGCAGCTGCACATATATACATATGATTAAATTGCTCAAATACATAACACGTCGATAGGCAAGCAAAGAAGAAAAAAAACTAAGTCGGTACATAAGTCAACATGTACATATATATATATAGGTATATACATATATATATATATGTATATACATATATATACACACATACATACCTACGTACATACATGCATGCATAGACATGCACAGAAATAATAGGCTGCTATGAGCCCTTCTGCATGTTGAGTGGGCCGTAGTAGAGACACACGCTGGGCTCGCAAGACTTCGGACTCCAGTTCAGGTCTACCTTGGATACCGCCCCCACTCTATAATATTCATAAGATGGATATAGAAGGCCCTGAATAGTAGCCCGATTATAGACTGCTACTGTATGGGGGCAGTACCCAAGGTCTACCCGGTTGCAGTTCGGACCTTCGGATTTGTGGGCTGGCGTGGTTGGTGAAGTGTGGGCTGCGAAACTATGGCACTTTCGACTGTGCAACCATGAGCGCTTCGGAGGTGACTCTCACCCCGCCTGTCAACGTCGATGAGGTTGATGCCGAGATCGTCGTTGTGGCAGGCAGTGCTACGATGCATGAACGTTACACCGAAGCAAAAGTGTGTGCCGGCAGACTTTTCTCTTTTGAAAGACCGAGGCGAGGAATCTTGCCGAGACGTGATAACCTGGAAGCCGAGAGCCAAGACCCGACCCGTCCGCAGGCTCTGCGTTGGGATTCGTGGCGCCTGGTCAGCCACCCCACGTCCTCCACGTGGATCCGGACACGGAGACGGCACGTTGCTGGAGAGCATGCTTGCATCGTCGCACGAGTTCAGAGCTGTTCATGAGGGGTGCTGCAGCTGCTAGATGCGACACCGGAAATGTGGCAGGCCAAGCATGGCATTCAGAGCGATGACCTGCTGTTGAGCATCGACGGTATGCCCTGCTTGTCATGTTCATTCAGGGTTGTTGGTCACTAGTCCGCACACAGTCGGGGCTCATCTGGATGCATAAAGTGTTCCGCCTGTCGAACCCTGCGTGCTTAAGCCCCGCTCACCATCGAAAGCCCCCAAGCTTCTACAGACCATCCAAAACTTCTGAAAATGATAACCGCTTCTCGTTCTCAAACTTGCGCCAGGCCAGGACATCTCCCAGCTCGACCAGGACAAAGTCGCTGCGCTCCTCCGGGCGCGCCCGGCCGTTCGGTTCTTGTATCTGGGCTCTGCTGGGCTTCACGTGTGTTCAACTGCAGACAGCGAAGTCCCTCATCTTCGAGCGCCCGGCGGGCGCCGGAGGCGAGGAGGAGCGACGTGCTACCTTATTCCTCCGGGTAGTTGAACTTCGGCACTTGTTCACGATTTGGTTGCATGAAAGGCTTTGTTGAATGTTGATTGCACTGTTGATTGCAACATGCAAGGCTGGCTTTTTGAGAGGGTTTTCAGTGAGCCCCGGCCCCAAGGAGCCCCAACCGCCCTAGAGCAAGCGCGGCAATCGAACCCTTGAGCCCTGGAGGACGCTGGGCAAGCGCGTGCGGCGGAGGATGGGCGGATGAAGAGATGCACAGCTCGAGGGTTTCGGGATGTCGTGAGAGAACTCAGCTGAAGGCCCCAACTTTCAACCCGAAGCCCTAAACTTTGAGCTCTGAAGACCTAGACCCTAAAACCTCAAGCGTAAACCGTCACCTAACTCAATTCATGACATGGCAGTGCCCGTCGATCTCAGGTACATTCACGGACGAACTCCCGAAAGCCAACCTAACATGGCACCGTAGTGGTGAGGGTTCGACCATGCAGCATCGGTATCAGCGGGTATCATGATCAGTATTCTCATGAACCATATCTTGTGGCATCACTTCGAATGTTCTTCTGCTTTATGTTCAACCAGAAATTCCTACACCCAGCCCTGTCATGAACACCGGAATCCTCCACGCCAAACACCCTCTGAACAACAGATTTTGCTCCCTAAAGGTCTACAGTCTTCGCCCTGAACTTCACCCCAGTTCCTGAAAAAAATCGCAGATTCATACGCAACTCGTCTATCCCCGAACCCTGAACCCTAAGACCGCCAGTACCAGTTAGCATCAAGGTGTGTAGGTGGTGAGGTCTCTCGCCCATCACCTCCCCCTGTAAGGCATTCCAACCAATTGTACAATGCGGACGGAGAAAGGGGTGTAAAAAAAACAAAAAACATAAACTCTAAACCCTAAACCCTAAACCCTGAACCCTAAACCCTAAACCCCAAAGCCTTAAACCCTTAAACTCTACAACTCCAAAGCCCTTGCAGAAGGAGACCAAAGCCGTGGAAGCCAGGGCTCCCACCCAGGCACCGCCTTCTGGGAGGGTTGCCCAGAGACTCCAATATCAAGGGTTTAGGGTTTAGGGGTTAGGGTTTAGGGATTAGGGTTTAGGGTTTAGGGTTTAGGGTCCAATATCCCTTAATTAAGGAATATACCCTAGATTATAGTAGGAGACCTAATAACGATTAAAGGTATATTCCTTAATTAAGGGGCATTGGAGTCTCTGGGTGGAGGGTGTTGGGGTGTTAGGGTTTAGGATGCAGGGTTTAGGGTTTTTTGGTTTAGGTTTTGGGGTTTAGGTGGGTTATTGGGGGTTCAGGGTGTTGGGATCGTGGAATTCAGAGTTTAGGGGTGCAGATTTGGGTCGAGGGGTCTTTGGGTTATGGATTTGCGGTCGCGGGTAGCAGCCTCGCTATCATAGCGTCTGGGAGTTTGGTTTCGGGTTTTCGGGGGTTATGCTGTAGCAGAAGACGTAGCGGGGCTTGTGGTTCCAAGTAATTTGTGATGTTCGTATGTGGTTGTGCTTCTTCCCAAACCTATCACTGGGCAGCCCGACAACCTACAACCCAAAACCCCAAACGGCCCTAAACCCTGAACCCTTAAACCCAAACTGCATTGGTGGTGATCAGGTGGTGAATCCCTCGAACTACCCTTTCGCCATTCCGACTTACAGTACCTGCCGGGCGGAAAAGGGGGTCATCTAAACAACAAACCGCAAAAGCCTTTCCCAGGCTCAGCGGAGTCGCTCCAGAAGGCCTTCCGACAGCCAAGCGTCGTCCAATTTACATTCGATCTGATTGAAATAGGTACATGATCTGTCTATCTATCTATCTGTGTGTACTGTATGATCTGTGTCTGTCTCTCCCTCCGTCAGTCTGTGAGTCCGTCTGTCCATACTGTATTTCGTAAGGCTGGGAACCACGCTCACGTTGTCTTGATAGGCAAGGGAAGAGATGGTTGCATGGATGAATCAAGTTCACGTGTATGCCTTTTCGTTTGTACCTCAGTTGAGCCGCTCGTCACTTCTAACTGCAGTGGTTTGCGTGTATTCATTGTGCAATCTTGAGATGATGCTTCAGCCATGTGTCTCATCTTCAACTTCGCTTTGGCCTTCATCTTCATGCCCATCTTGACCTCATGTACATGCCTGTGCGATGTTAATGTCAGCATTGATTCACAATCCTCTCGCGGATTCTTCTCCAATCATGCCGATGGGTGTTTACACGTATGTAAGTGTGCATGTAAGACCTGCATGTACCATTTCGTACAGATGGTTTAGCTTGATCACTCTATTTTGCATCGCGGTGTCCACGCCATTGCAGGAGAGGAAGACACCGAGAGTCCAAGCACGCAGACGACAGGCAGCCATGTGGGACATGCACATGCTCCGGTTGACAGCAACAGGGGTTCGAACGGGAGTAGTTAGTGTCTTTAGTGTTTAGGACTTCGGTTCAAGGCTTTTGGTGTCGTCACCAGAGATCACTACAAATGTGGTGTCTCTTCAGTGGGTTTGGATATGTCGTTGGAACTAGGAGCTCATCGAATCTAAGCTAAACTTCGCAAGTATTGCGAACATCTATCCTCTGTAGGCGGTACACGTCGAACTATTGCGCTTTACTTACTTCCTTTGTTTATTAAAGTTGTTGTGATCCCTACTAGGCTGGGCTCGGCTTTGACCCGAAGCCTTGGCATCTTGGTTCCAGCTCCTGCGGCTTGGGGATGTTCAAACCATCGAGGTCTACGATGCAGGGCTCCTGCTACGATTCTACGGTTTTTTTGGAGCATCCATAGGATTCACCTCATCTGCCGACGATCCTCCAAGCAGATCTGTTGGTCAAGCCCAATGCCCGAACACCGAAGCCTTACACACCCCAAGCTTAGTGGTACCCTCGCTGCCCGCATTGACTTTGTTCAGGCAACTCCTAAACCCTGCGCACCATGCCCGACAGCTTTCATGACTTCAAACCACGAAGCCCGAAAACTCCTCTGAAGAAAACCTTAACTCCTTAAGCCCTGAACAACCTCCCAAACCACCGAAACCTTCAACAACATCCCCTAGATGCCCTCAACCAAACCCTGAAAGGGTCGTTAGTAGTAGTAGTAGTAGTAGGAGGAGGAGGAGGAGGAGGAGGAAGAGTAGAACCCAAGCAAGGCCGCCTCCTGGACCTCCCCCGGACACCGCGCCGCCCGGGTATCCCCCGGTGCAGCCGCCGGGAGCTTCCAGAGAGCGATCTATCTGGGAGTTTCCGAAAATAAGGGGTTCCTTATTTTGGGGTCCTTATAATAAGGATCCTACCGTTTAGGGTGCTATATTGGGGTCCCCTATTTTCGGAAACCCTCATATGGCTTTGTAGGGTTTGTAGTGGAGGTTTCTAGGGGTTCCGAACCGGCCGTCCTGGGGTTGTAATAGGGATTTACAGAGCTTTTGATCGGACTTTGTATGGATCGGGTCTTTGGGTGTTCATGGGGTTGTTGAGGCTTTCGGGGTTTCTTTTTTTCGGGTCTTTGGGGTTTTTGGATTTAGTGTTTAGGTAGCTTCGGGGTTTGGTTTGGGCCAAGCACGGAGTTTATATAGGGTGATAGGGTTGGGCTTGTGGGGTTGCGAATCCATGGTTTGGAGTTGAGAGTTGATCTCATTGGAGCACCAGAAAGGAAGCCTTGGTGCTCAGCTTGGAGCAGCTAAGATTGCAAGCCTGGTGTCATGGTGGTGATAGAAATGACAATGACAATGACAACGATGCTGTCATTCGGTGGGTTGTTGCCCAAGACGAGCCATTGGCTTCCAGAACTGTCGCCAAGAACAACGATGGAACTGCACAGCGACCACTTCATCTGACAGCTTTCTTGTGTCCTCGACGTTGATCGATACTCCAGACCCTAAACCCTAAACCCCAGGCTGCTGTTGGTGACTTCTACCCGGATTGGAGGTTCTGCTCTGCTTCATCCTCGAAGCTCCGGATCTTCAAACCCCTCACGTCTGAGCGCCGCGATGCGTCAAAGCCAGCCATGTGTGGCCTCGCATTTTGGCTTCGCTTCCGTTCGCCGCAGCAGTGGAAGGACTGCGCGGATGTTTTTCCGGAGGCCTTGCATGTCATTGGAGCCTAATAATCCAGCAGCTGTTGCAATTGCTGCCCCCTTAAAACCTTTGCAGATCTCCAGCCACTCTAGCCCAACGCACCGTTTGCTCCGGTCTAGCCAACTGGGGCATGTCGCCGGTGGCAGCATCCTTCAGAAGGTTTGCAAGCCGATCTTCAGTCACATCTGAAGTGCTCATCTTGTGAGTTACGAGCGCATTTGATTCCGCGCCTAGTGGGCTTGTTGATTCGGTCATAGGTTTTTCTAGTGACAGCACGGGTCGATGCTGGCTCAGATGTTGGCAATGATCATGGCCATCAGCATTGCCAAGACTTGAGGTACTGTAGGAAAGCTGGTGCAGTGCTGCGACAACCGCTGTTCATCGAAGTCTGCAATCGCAAGAACCACCACTACTACCACCAGCACGGGCACCGGCTTCGGTACCCTCGGATCAGCAAAACCGCTTCTGCATGCAGGCTCTTGTGGAGGCAGAGGCCTTCACCGCAGCTGCAGAGGCTTTGCCCCGGCGCGGGCCAGATGCAGAAGGTACGGGGACCTCAAATGCTGTTGAGGGTCTTGAGCTCTCCAGTTTTTGGGGGGATAGTGGTGTCCAGATTGAGCTGAATATTGGTTTGGAAACTTCGAGGGTTGGGACTGTAACTTTGGTGCAGCATGGGGTTCTTGACGTCTACACTGTTCCTTTCTCACACACAGACAAAACGAGCTCAGGTTACCCCAATCCCTAAACCCCGAAACCCTAAACTCTGAGGGTTCATGGTTTAGGGGGCCGGTGTCTGGAGCAGGCTTGCAGGTCGTGGATCTGCCAGCTGGAGAGCTGCATCTCCATGCCTGCGCTCCTGGTTCGCATTTGCGGTTTAGGGGCTTTGGGGGGGTTTAGGGTTTAGGGTTTAGGGTTTAGGGTCGCTGGGGGATGAAGAATTTAGGCCTTCCTTGCAGGAGTAGTTGAGCACTAGGTGATACCAACTTGGAGGATCTGAGCATCTTCAGAGCCAGCCCTGGGCTCATAGGAGGATGCCGAAACCCTAAACCCTAAACTTGAACCCTAAACCTGACGGCCCTAAGCCCTGAACCTGAAAGCCTTACCTCCCCGTCAGCTCAGCCCCGAGGTCCTGCACCTCCGAGGCGACTCGGTGGTGTCGCAGCCATGCCCCGTGGCCTCCGAGAAGGCAGAGATCCAAACCACCAGTCGCCCTCAAGGGTGTAGGCTTTAGGGCTTTGGGGTTTGAGTTTTTTGAACTTCAAGGGTGTAGTTTAGGGCCTTAGGGTTTGAGGATGTAGAGTTGCTTGAGGCTTAGTGTTTAGAGTCTAGGATTTGAACGTATCAGGAGTGGGTTTCTGTCATTCCGGCCCTCTTCAAGGGTAATTACTTGCTTGAAGGCTACGTCTCCGTGCTGGGGGAGGGGGCGTAATGTTAGATGCGTCAGTCGGTCTTCATTCTTGTGAACTTGCCAAAATAGAAAGTCTGTCAACATGGCCTAGCTAGCCCTCAGTGCCGGAGGAATCATGCGACCACTGCAGTATTCAGAAATCTTGTGATGCTGTAACATGTCTCTGTCTGCTCAAACCCACTTCCCTTACCACTTCCCTTAAACTGTCGGCATTAACACCCGCTGGTCCTAAACCCCACGCCTAAGAATGCCTCAAAACTCGTTAAGTACGAAGCCCGGAACCCCAAAACCCTAAAGCCCTAAACCCCCAAACCCTAAGGAACTTAAGCCAACACACTCTTGTCCTCAAAGCTAAACCTGATAGTGTACCCAAAGCCATTTCCAGGAGGTTGGGCGGCTGCTCTTCAATGGCGAGGCCTACGAAGTCCTCAGCCCCCAATCTCCAGGCAGGTATTCATGCTTTCTGCATTCAGAATTCTGCACAGCAGGTCGTCTTTCCTGGACAATGTAGTATGTACGGATGAACACGACGACGGTTATGGGGTGAAGTGCCTGCCGCAACTGCGGTGGGGAGATCGTCTCGAGTCTTCCTGGAGGCAGAAGGAGACTTGGATATCCTTGCAGACCTTTATCATACGCACTGAAATCCGGATACAGAATTTTGGGAACGGGACAGTGTTCCTCCACCTTGCAGGCCAAAGCCATCGCCAGGACAGGCCAACGATTACTCTTAGGTTCTCGGCTTCGAATCAAGGGTTACGTTTGATCGTTCATGGCCGGTTGCTTCCATGGGAAAGGGCGAGTCCCACACAGGCAGTACGACAATGCGACGCGTGAGCCCCATTGTTGCCAAACCTGCAACCCGACAAGCCCGCGACCGCGACCAAAACACACACTGATGATCATGGTAGTAGTCTTCGTTATCGATGCTCCTATTCCTCATCATCTTTGTGATCTGCGTATTCAGCAAGCAGTGGTCCTCCATGTTAGCCATAGTAAACCTTGAGCCAGGAGCTGGGCGGGGAGGAGTACGGCACGGCCATCAACCTGTACAGGTTGAGGCTGGGTATGTAGAGCGAAAGGAACTTACAAAATGGATCTCTACAGACCGAAGCAAGCTTGCAAGCTCGAATCGGGAGGTGTACTGAGAGAAGACGAAGCGACAGAAGGAGAGAGAGAGGGAGAAATAGAAGCGAATGTAGATGGAGCTATAGCTGCCTGTCTGTCTGCCTGCCTGCCTGCCTGCCTGCCTGTCTGTCTGTCTTTATGCATGTGTACATGTTTGCATCATGCATTCATGCATGCAGGCCCGGACATGTGTGTATGCGTGTTTCTGAAAAGAACACATATCATAATTCATGATCATTTCGCGCTACCGTACATGCACGTAGTTTCATGCATGCATGCGTTTGTTTTTGGTGTGTGGGTGTGAGATTAGACATGCACCTGGCTGCGTCGCTTTGTTTTGACTTGTTGTTGAAGTCACCTGGCTGCAGGGCGATGGAGAGCGCAGAGAGACGCACATCCGATGAAGGCAGGTGTCCCAAGCTCTGGCATTACGTTCCTAAGCAGGCGAACTTGGGTTTCTTAGCATATTTAGCAAGGGTGAATGATCAGAAACGTCGCCGGCCCAGGTGGCTCTATAGGTCACTGGATTTGCTGCAACATCGAGGGCTTCGTCTTTGGGTCCTCACGCCATGGGCCAACGAGAGACCGTGATCGATAGTTCTGAGCCAAAGCTTTGAGACCGCAAACTCCAAAATCCGTAAACCTGTCACCTTGAAGCCTCCAGAGCCTCCCCCAGCCCGAAGAAGCCCACAAAACCCAAACCCCACAGCCGAATCCCCTAAACTTTCCTTGATCCCCAAACCCCAACT